CCACGTGGGACCCCCACACACACTGCCCTGCGCCCCCCACAGCAGCCTCCTGGGCCCCACGCAGAACCCCCACACACGGTGCCCTGTGGCCCCACGCAGGAGCCTCCCTGGCCCCCACGGGCCATGCCCTGGGGCTTCAGGCCAAGGTGGCATAAAAGAACAATCGCTGTTTATTAAACGTTTCTCCGTTGGCACCACACACTCCAGAAAAATGAGAAAAAATAAAATCGACATAAAATAAAACGGAGAGCGAGACGCCCAGGTGGTCCGACACAGCGTCAGGGCGGGCGCTCGTGACCTGAACTCCCTTCCCAAGGGGATATGTACAGAGAATGAGGTCCAGAGAGGTCTATATACAGTACAAATCCAGTGGTAATTACAGCGCCCAGCCTGGGGGCGATGTGGCCAGGGGAGGTAGGGAAGGGTAGAGGAAATTTCACATATGTACAAACTTTTATATAATAATAATAATTAATACGTATAAATATCATGGCGCCACCCGAGTCGCCGCTGTCTGGGGGTGGGGGAGGACAGGGAGAGTCCTTACAAAAGAAATACGGACTGAGGTGCAGGAGGGGGCAAGGGAGGGCTGGTTAATGGCGAGTCTGAAATAGAGACACAAACAGCAAAGAAACACCCAGTACAATCACTGCGCTGACCACATTCACCCAGCAGCTCAGACCATAGCACAACGGTGAATAGCCACAAGAGTCCCCTCCAGTTCTCCGTGCTCAGGTGGGGGGGGTCGCTCCCCCGCCCCGGTGCCCTGCACGCGCTGGCGGGTGGGGGGAGAAATGGCTTCTTCATTATTTTGTTGGTTGTTTCCCCCCCAACAACCCCAGCCTGGGGGGACAGGGGGTCTGAGAACAGGGAGAAGGAAAGAAAGAAAGAAAGAAAGAAAAGGCCCCTCCCTCATTGCCCTCCCCAGAAAAAAACCAATCAATGTCTAGATAATCATCATTTCCAAAGACAGAGGGGGGGTGCAGGACACGGGGATGGGGCTGAGCAGGCAAAGCCCTTTATGAGAGTATAGAGAGCGCAGAGAGCAGTGGGAGAGGAAGGTGGGATCCCACCACTGGGACCAGCTGAGAGATGGGGAGAGATCCCCAATGCTGACACCAGGCAGGACTGGCAGAGGCCATGGCAAACCTTAGGCCTGAGCCTAGCCAGGAAGGACAGAAGGGGTGGTCTTTCCCTCGGCCAGGGCAGGGCTGTGGGGAGCGAGGATGGTATGTGATGGGTGGGGCAGGGCTAGTACTTGCTATTCCACAAGTCTTCGACCCTGACCCAAATCCCATGCTGGAGGGAAGAGAGAAATACTGGAACAAAGAGCTATGAGCCCTCGCCCCCTGAGAATCCCTCCTGCCAGGCACAGAGCCCCCCCCTACAGCAAAATGGGGAGAGCTTTGCCTCCAGCTGCCACCAGTCTCTGCTGCCCCTTGAGTTTCCAACCCTCCAGGCTTGTCCTGGAGTCTCCGGGTATTAAAGATTATGTCATGTGACGAAACCTCCAGGAATGCGGCCAACCAACCAAAATGAGCCCTTCAGCTGCCCCCGTGGGCAGGCTGGAGGGGTTTCCCTGCCCCCCAGGCAAGGAGGGACAATGCAATAAAATGGCTGCCAGGGCGAGACCACTCCTGAGAAATAGGGAGGGGGAAGAGGTATTGTCCCCATTTCCTTCAAGGGGAGGCGGAGGTCCATGGCACAGGAGAGAGGAAGTCAGACCTGCTCCCCCTGGGAGGGGAGAGAAGGTGCATGGGAGGAGGGGTGTAAGATTGTCATCTGTGTTCTGCTATAAAACACCCTGAAGTTGAGTTCAAAGCATCATACTGTCCCCGAAGAACAGGGCAGGTGTGTGGGGGAGGGCCGGGGAGGGCTGGTTCGAAGGGGCGCTGGTGCAAGGGGAGGGGGCAAAAGGGTGCCCCCCCGTGCAGGTCTATTTGTTTGGGAGGGCCTCTGTCCCTGCCAGCGTCTCTGCTGCTCCCGCCGAGCTGCGGGCTGGGGGGGCCCCCCCATCTCCCCAGGACCGCGTCTGGCGGGGGCGGCGGCTAGTGCTCAGCAGCGGTGTTGCGGAACTCTCCATTTTCCGTGATCTGGAGTCGCGGGGGCGGAGGCGGTGGCTGGGCGGGTAGGATCCCGTTCCATGGCTGGGCCAGGGCGCCGCTCAAACGCGGGTTTGTTGTACCCACGGCGGAAAGCTGCCTCTCCTGCAACACAGACCCACAGAGCAAAGGCTTATTTATTAACGTTACGCGGGCTCAGCCACTCAAACTGCAACCCCGTTCACTAGCCCCCCAGAGAGCAACCCCTGCCCCAATGCCTACCCCCATCGCAGCAGCTCAGCCCATGGGGCCACGGTGGGCCAGAAGCCCCAGCACCAACCCAGGAACAGGAGGAGTTCACCTGAGAGTTTGCCACTTTTTTCATAGGAGGAGAGGCTGGCCCCAGGTTTCTTCTGGCCTGGCCGTTCATGGGGAGCATGTTCACTAACTGTTCCCCAGGCCAAAGGAAGAAAGGGGCAAAGAAAAAGGCTCCCTACTGGGAAAATAGCAGTTACCTACCTTTTGTAACTGTCCTTGGAGCTGAATGCTCATGTCTGCATGTGCCGCGTGCACAGCTGGCAGAAGGCTTTTCCCCCAGACCCATAGTTCTCTAACATTTTGGCCTGGGGCCCACCCTGCTCAACACAAAACTTTCCACAGACCACCAGCCAACACCCATGCTGACAAAATGGATGCAGGATTGGGCTGAGGGTGTGGGAGCAGGCTGATGTGAGCATGAAGGGGAAGGGGGGGGTGCTTACTTGGCTCTATGCCCTCAAGCTGTTCCCAGGCACTGCCAAGATTCCAACCAATGGGAGCAGCAGGGAAAGCCAATGCACAGTGTCAATTCCTGCCACAAGCCAGATCCAGCCCACGAGGCTCAGACCCCCAGCAGGAGGCTGGCACTGGCACCCCAACCCCATGAGGGGAGGGGTGCAGGGCTGGAGCCCCAGTGCAGGACTGGAGCTCGTGGCCCACCTGCAAGACAGTCATGGACCACACTTTGAGAACCACTGTCTTAGTGGCACTGGTTGGGTCGGCTTCGAAGCCCCCGGAGTGGCACCATCACGACCCTGTCTATAGGCTCCTGCCAAGCCACCGCCCCTTCGGGTCCTTCTTGCTGGATACTGTGACAGAGACAAGACAGGTGGGGGTTGGAATGGCCTTGAACACATCCTGAAAAACAACTGTTATGGAAAGCAGGTCACAGTTTTTTCCTCTTTGAATGAGCACTCGTGTCAATTCCATGCATGGGGCTTCCAAGTGGCCCCCCCCCCAGAGTTATAGACTGAAGCACTGCTATGTCAACCCAGCGTTGTCTCCAGCTTGCTGTATGATGGGGTAGCGTGACATCAAGGTGCCAACAGACGACCACATTGGCACCCTGCGGTTGTCCTGGATGGGCACCAGCACCGGGAATGCCGCAGAGAAAGCCCGTGCCCTCGTGAAGTGCGCTGTTACCCCTAAGGCTGGAAGCTTTGCCAAGCTGTAGCGTGTTCTGATACAGCCTGCGATCCTAGAAGGGATCTGCTGGAATGAGACGGGCAGTCCGCGCGCCCTTTCTGAGATGGCAATGAAGAGTTGCATTGATTTCCTAAACGGCTTTGTCCACTCCATGTAAATAGCCAGGGCTAATCTCACATCCAAGGAATGGGACATGAAGATGTCCTGATGCACACGAAATTGTGAAAGGTGGGTGCAGCCACAATTATCCCTTGTCCTTATATAACATTGTACAAGCCATCCCCGCTGTATGTCCATGATGCGTTCCAAAAAACGTGGACGTACAACGAAACAACGTCAAGCGGGGAATGTCTCTGATTTGCATTCAAATAGCTGACTTTCATCTGAGCAAATTTTTTTTGAGCGACAAGATTGGGAAATGGGAGGACTTGATGAAACAGTTCCTAAATTCATTAGTGTCGTCAGTGTGGAACTGGCAGACTGGGGCAATGTATAGCAGGGCTGGCCTGTACAAGGAGGCTCAGATGTTAAACGCTGAGCTTAGACATTCATCTGACTGACGTTATAGCCATGAAGAACTCCACTTTCCCAGAGGGGCAAAGCAGCAAACAAGTAGCTAGAGGTTGGGGAGGCATGAGCCTGGAGAGGACCAGATTATGGTTCCATGGGGGGATTGGTTGCTGCACCTGGGAGTACCGACTGTCTAGCCTCTTAAGGAAATGTCCAGCCATGGACCTAGCAGATCCTGACAGACCCCACTGCACCTGGGCAACAAGCAGCCGCAGCCGCCAGGCGCACCATGCTGACAAGATGCCGTCCCCTGCTGCTTTCCGTACAGCACACAGTACAGCAGAAAGGGGAGTGAAGACTGCAGCAGAAGGTGCTCTCCTGCCAGGTAAGTGATGCCGGTGAAGGATTCTCGACTGCAAGGAGAACTTCCTGAACTAAACTAACAGGTTTAGCCATGGAGTCTGCACAGTGAGATGGAGGGGCTACAGGATGGGATGCTGGAGGCAACTGTGGCCCTGCGTGAGGAGGCAAGGCCATGGGCCTGTCCCCCAGGAGATCTAGTGGAGGGGCCATGGCAGTGCTATGACAATCAGTGAGGAAGGCCTTGTGGATGAGAGGGAAAGGCGGGAACACATACAGCAGGCGCCCCAGTCATGAGAGGAGAAAGGTGTCCGTAGTTCAGGAAGGAGCAGAACTGTGGCACGTCTGGTGCTCCATGTCATCAACGGGTTTACCCGAGGATAGCTCCACCTCTGGGAGACAAGGCAGACCACGTCCATAGGACCACAGGAGACCATTCGTGGCCGTGATAGGACCTACTCAGGTGACTGGGCACGTTGTTTTGTGAGCCCGACACCTCCAACTACATCAAATGGGCAATGCATGCCCCTGAGCCTGAGGGCTTCCGGGCACAGGAACGAGGAGCAAGCAGCTACACAGAACATTGCTGTGATGGTGTCTGTCAACACCAATACACATCTGCCCTGAAGATGGGCCTGAAGTGTCTGGCAAGCTAGATGCATCGCAGGCAGATCCCTGATGTTGCCATGGAGCAATAGCTCCGTCTGGAACCACAGACCATTTGTCCTGAGGGCACCCAGATGTGTCTGTGACTAGCAGCTGGGGTTTGGAGAAGGGCGCTCCCGTGCAGACTGGATTGAACCACAACCAGAGGGACTCAAGAGCCCGCAGATTGGGCATGACCAGTCTGTTTAGGTGGTCCTGGTTCAGCCTGCACACTGGGGCCAGCCACAGCTTCACCAGGCAAGTGCAGGCTGCCATATGTCCCAGAAGCGTTAGGTTACTTCTGGGCGTCACGTTGGGGAACTGATGCAGGCCTGCTCGGCAGTGCAGGCCTTATGGCCAGAAAAAGAGTCAGGCAGGGACCAAGGCAGCCCCGATGAATTCTAGTGGGAGTGAAGGTCGACTTCACCACTGAGGACAGGAACGCTGCACGCATCAGTGCACTTGTCCATCCACTGGGCTCTAGACCAGCCCTAGAGCTAGTCGCTTAGGTAAGGGAAGACTCGCCCCTGATGCTTTCGAAGAGCAGCCACCACAACTGCCGTGCACTCAACGACCACCTGAGGGGCCACCAAAAGGCTGAAAGGGAGGGCTGTGAACTGCTAGTGCATGCGGCTCAGGACAAGCGGCACAAGCCATCTGTGGGACGGGATTACAGAGGTGTGGATTTGGGCACAGGCCCTAGCTACCCCAGCATCCTTTGAGGCAAGGGCAGTGTTCCCAAGGGAGGGGTGGACTCTCCAGCCCTGGCTGGGTTGGGTGGGTCCTGCTTTGGGCAGGGGGCTGGACTCGATGGCTCCTGCGGTCTCTGCCCATGCCCCAGATCCTGAGAGGCGAGACCATGCGGAACTTCCATTTCTTCGTGAATCTGTTGAGGTTTTGTGCATCTGCAATGGGCCAGAGGGACCTCTTCTACCCTCCTTCCCAAGCTGCAGAAGCATGTGCACGCCCTGCACTAGGCATTGCTCATGAAAAGGGTCCCCGAAGAGGGACCGTGGGGGTAGGTGGGAGGGAGAGGACTGGGAAGAATCTCAGAACCCAGCAGTCCGAGGTGAGTTGTGCCCAAGCCCAGCAGCAATGAGACAGGGCGGGGCTGGGGCTGGGCAATGAACTGGGCTCTGTCCTCGGAGACGGCTCAGCTGAGCCCTGGCCCTGACCAGAGGAGGACTAAGATCACAGAATCCCGGGGCGGGCAGAGACCGCAGGAGCCATCGAGTCCAGCCCCCTGCCCAAAGCAGGACCCACCCAACTCAACCAACCCAGCCAGGGCTGGAGAGGCCACCCCTCCCTCGGGAACCCAGCCCAGGGCTTTACCCCCCTCAGAGTGAAATAGTTTTTCTTAATAGCCAACCTAGACCTCCCCCACTGCTCCTTGTTCTGCCATCTGCCCCCACTGAAAACAGCCTTTCCCCTTCCTCTTCGGAACCTCCCTTCAGGGAGATGGAAGCTGCTCTCAAATCCCCCCTCATTCTGCTCTTCTGCAGACTCAACAAACTCAACTCCCTCGGCCTCTCCTCATAGGTCATGTGCTCCAGCCCCTGAATCATTTTGATTGCCCTCTGATGGACCATCTCCAATACGGCCACATCCTTTCTGTAGAAGGGGGAACAGAACTGGATGCAATACTCCAGGGCTACGTCTAGACTGGCATGATTTTCCAGAAATGCTTTTAACGGAAAAGTTTTCCGTTAAAAGCATTTTCAGAAAAGAGCATCTAGATTGGCATGGACGCTTTTCCGCAAAAGCATTTTTTGCGGAAAAGCATCTGTGGCCAATCTAGATGCGCTTTTGCAGAAAAAAGCCCCGATCGCCATTTTCGCCATCGAGGCTTTTTTGAGGAAAACAAATCTCAGCTGTCTACGCTGGCCCTTTCGCGCAAAAGTTTTACGCAAAAGGGACTTTTGCCCGAACGGGAGCAGCATAGTATTTCCGCAAAAAGCACTGATTTCTTACAGTAGGAAGTCAGTGCTTTTGCGGAAATTCAAGCGGCCGGTGTAGACAGCTGGCAAGTTTTTCCAGAAAAGCGGCTGATTTTCCGGAAAAACTGGACAGTCTAGACACAGCCCAGATGTGGCCTAACCAGTGCTGAATAAAGGGGAATAATCACTTCTCTAGAGCTGCTAGAAATGCTCTTCCTAATGCAACAAGAGAGAGGAACTTCCTGTTAC